CCTCTTGGCTTGCAGAGGTGAAGTGTTGCAAATTCCAGCTACAAGTCTCAGAACAACACAGCTGAGCACCTTGTTTTGGCTGGTCTATGCCCTCCCTTTGACTTTAGCTTGGGAAGGGTCTTTTCCAGCGGGCTTGCTTACATGAAGTACGTAGTGAATCTGTTTTTGCATTGAGTCAAACTGCTGGCAAATCCTGCTGACTGGCATTGAATGCTTGTAAGGGCTGTAATTGATGACTGGTGTTAGACCAAACACAGGTACTGGAACTATGTTTTGTAAAGTGTGGGTGTCTCTGGTTTTTATTTTGGGCTCCTTGAGCAGGCTGAAAACTTGCTGTCCTTGGTGTGAATTAATACTGGCCAGCACACACCATTTGAGGTACGTGTTGGTGCTCGCTCTGTCCATGAAGGCGACATCTGTTGGACATGGGCAGTCTCTGTTGCTAATGCAGTTTTGTCTTCCAAGAATGTAATACTTTTGGTGTTTCTTATAGTAGAGGGGCATCTCCAGCAAAACCCATTGGAAAGGAGCTCTCATGACTAATCCTGTCCGCAAAGGGAAGAGCAGAACCACGCTACAAAACAAAAGAGCTCCGGGTTTTCATGTAGAAATGCAGTTCCTGTTTCCGATCTGCTGCAGTGGCTGCACAGACAACAAAAGGTGGCATTTCACGTTGTCAGCTGGTGCCTCGCTGCAGTTGGTGCCTGAGCGCTGGTCCCCGCATCAAGCGTCCTGCTTGGCTCCCCTTAGCAACTTGCCGTCTTCATGTCAAGTTCTAGCTAGAAAGTGGGTAGAAATGGAAACAGGCATCAGTGGGACAGCAAATCCAGCCAAAATTAAATACGGTGCAGACACAGATGGCAATTACATGACATTCACCATTCAGTTTGGGTTCGCTCACCTCTCTTTGCTGTGGGAGCGTGCCTGTCCCAGTCTGCCAAAGCCAGGTTTCTCCTGCGGGAGTGTCCTGAGACGTGGAGAGTGGATATGTGTAAAACAGTGCGGTGATCCCTTCCCCCCAATAATTCTTGGCTTTGGATTTTGAAAAGACCACAAACCCTTAGCTTATTACAAGTAATCCTGATCACTCCCATAATGATACACTACATTATATACTCTCCTAAACTTAATCATTCAATATCTCACTTCCTTCCCTGTAGGCATGTACTATTATATTTTACACATGGCTTCCAGCTGGTTTTCATTGTGGCCTTCAAATCATATTTCAGTACAGTGCGATTTAAGACCAGTCACTTTATCTCTTAAAGTCAGCTTCCATCATACTCGTTTTCTTGCAAGTTTTCTTGCTGGTTAATTTGTTTGAAACAATGAGTTTGTCTGCGAGGTTAATGTCTACCTGAATGAACCTCCCTAAAGCAGCATCTTCCAAAGCCGTTCTGTTCTGAAACGCTGCAAAGGCAGCCATGCCTGTGGAGTTTAAAAATGAAATCTCTTGAAGGCATAAAAACAAAGAAGTCCTGTGGGCATGGAAGGAAATCTATACCTTCACATTTGATTTGAAAGTAGATGGGGAGTCGGTGAGGAGGGAGGGAGGGGAAGGGAAGTCAGCTCCAGATGGTGGTGGCTCTGGAGGAGGAGGCTGCCCCAACTGTGGCTAAGGGGTGGTGGGAAAGGGCATGGAGGAAGGAGAGGGAAAGGGGGACACGGTGCACCGATGCTAGGATGACTTTTTGGGGAAAAGGAAAGCTGAGCATGGCCATTGTTTTTACCCCTTTTCTCTGAAGCCCACCGTACGTGTGGTGTTTGGTGGTCGGTCAGACCATCATTTGGGAGGCTGAACAGCACTGACCCAAAATCTGAAGTGCTGTGGCAGGGTGTGCACAGCAGTGTGTCCACAGAACTGTGGATATTTTACCTGCAGATTTAAGGGCATAATAATGACCCAAAATCTGAAAATTAGAAACTGCCAAAAATGGATAGTTTCCTCTATGAAGCTGTGGCATGCAGTGCTGGACATGAAGGAAGCAAATTGCCCAAATCGACCACTATGTTTTACAAATGTAGTTCAAAGCAAATATTTAACAAAAAGGTAGTCACATTTCATATTGTATGATCTGCCTCAACAGTTGATCTGTATCCCGTAGAAAAGCATGCTCTTTTGTATTAAATAGCCCATATTATTGGAAGGAAATGCAAAACTGATCACAGCCTAAACCTGAAGGAAATTCTGTGCATTTATCCATCTCTCTGTATATGGGTAATGTTGTGTCACTGAAAAATATTGTGTACTGAAATCCTTTGTTAATGCCACTGGAAATCCAAAGCAAGCCCCCAGAAGTGAGTGAAATGATGAGATTTATCTGCTATGAGAGTAGCATTAGATTTTTGTGTTATTTAGGAAAACAGTAAGTCAAATAAAATACAATCTTTTTCTAATATTTTACACTGATAACCCCTGGAGAGGTCACTCCAGAAAAGGAAGGGTTAAGTGAAATTATTCTTTCCCTCCTGCTCTCAGCCCTCTCTTTGGTTGATTGCTTTATAGATGCTGTAGGCATCTCTTCATCTCCTTCAAATTAAACATTTTACTGCTGCTGATCCTGTATTGTTGGATTTTTTTCATCATTATATTTGATTGGAAGTCTTGTAACATTTTTCAGGCTGGATCGTTTCTCATGCTATTTGTCAACTGAAAAGGGGAAAAAAGCCACTTCCAACTCGAGCAAGAATGAACTGAGTAATTTGCACTCTTTCTGGATGTGTTTCTATCTCTGTTAGCTGCTACTTGAATTCAGCTTCTAATTAGCAATGCTACTTGAGGCTTTTCATATGACGCTGTCTGTAATTTCCCTGGCAGTTTATTTGTGGTGTTAAACCCTTTTCTTTTTGGCTGCTCTGGGCCTTACAGTGTCAGAGGCCAGGACCAGAGGGCACAACAGAGTAGATAATGTAGGTAGGGCCTGGGTCCTTGGCCAGTGTCAGTGATCCTGGCTCTGCTGCAGTCAGTGCTGCCTGCCAATGTAGGTGTGGATCCGGCCCTCGTCTGTAACCCCTCTATTTGGAGAAGTCAGTCCCTCTCTTTGACAACAGTCTCCGGACAAAGAATGAAATCCTCAAAGAGCAGCTGAGATTCCGTTCACTGGAACATTATACTCTCTTATTACAAGAGAGATAATAAAACATAAACCAGAACATCCATCATTGCCGTTTGAATTTCTCCTTTCCCCAGCTCCTCGGTTAGCTCCATTTCGATGACACCCTGAGTATTTACGTGCTTGGGAGGAAAATGAATTGATTGGCACCAAAAAACATTTTCAGCGCTTCTGCCCACCAGCAGCTCTTGCCAGGAGTGTGGCAAGCCCTTCCTGTCACCAGGGGTGACACCTGCTTTTAGCCGACAGTGAGGAGCTGCCCTGAAGCTGCCTCCTTATCCGGGTGCTTCCCGTCCCTGTCACGAGCATCGCTCCGTGGCTGCGGCAGCGGTGCCTCGCACTGCAGGCGTGGGGACGTGGCGTGGGGTCTGTGGCGGGACCGCCTCTGCCATCAGGTGCAGCAGGGGAAGGGCAGTGCCGGGCTAGACAGCAGGACGAGCCGTCTTCACAGCGTGTCTCCCAGGTTTGGCTCCTCGGCCGCAGTGGCTCGGGACTTCAGTGTGCCGTTCAAAACCTGTGACTGCAGAGCGCTGCTGTTGTAAATTACTGCGATGGCAACATTTGATGAAAGAAATGAATAAAGGGCTTTTCAGCACAGAGCCTTTTTATTTATTTGCATAACAAGCTGATATTCCACAGTGGTCTTCCCCCTTGCAGTAATAACTGCTCCGTTTGTGTGTAAAATTCAGTGCAAGTTCTCAGCACAGTTCCATTATTTATCCTTATTTTTTTCCCTTTAGAGAGCTTTAATGTAGGGTTGATTTTCTGGATGTTACCGTTAGCGGCAAAGACATTTTCTTTTTGGTTGAAGAGCCAGAATTCCCTCTTATTTGTGTTATCCATATTGATTTTGTTAGCTCTGTAATGTTGAGTTTTAATAATTATTTCCCTGCATCTGAAGAAACCCCTGGGCAAATACGGCCCTCAATCCTGTAGGGATTTTTGCCAGTAATCTCTCTTGTATAGATTTGGTTTTAAAGAAAGCATATGGAGCGCCTCTGTATTTCTAACAATTCAGAGCAGGTATTTTTCCCCTGGAATAAGGGCTGCACAAGGCCCTTTCTTAGTAATTTTAAGTGGCTGTTAGGAAGATTAAGAGCAACATATGCTTTCTTTAAACTTGCCGAAAAGGAGATACTGCTGGTGAAAATCTGTTACAAGACTGAACACTGTGTTTGCCCAGAGGGTTTCTCAGATTAGAGGGATACAATTATTTGAACTCAGAACTCCTCAACTAGTGAAATTAATACAGATGTAATACAGAGAAGTCTGTTAGAGAGACACATTGAAGCCAGCTCTGCAGAGCAACGGAACTGGCTACAGTGTCACTCTTCATAGAAGGGAAACCTTAACAAAACTCGGCACCTTAATTACTGATTTTTTTTCCATAAAGCAGCTGTGATGGATTTTAGTGCCAAATCATTATTTATGATAAAGTAGCACCTGACAGTCCTACATGTGGGAAGCTCTGAGTCTCCAGCCTAAAGAGACGAGAGAAAATGAGGAGGGGGGAGAAGAGGGAGAATGACTTCTCTGAGAGGGGACAGCTGGCCAGTCATCGTGACCACACGACTGTAATACCTTTTGACTTAACTTTTATTTTGGCTATTTTATATTTCTTTTTATTACCTACATTTTCTATTTCTTATTTATTTTGCGGTTTTATATTTATTTTATTTTGTTTGGTTTTTGTATCACTTTCTCCTTTCAGCCTGCAGTTTCTGGTGCTGCCATCTCACAGGTCAGAATGGTAGTGGGAAATTAATATTACTACTTTTCTTCACCAAAACAAAGTAGGCCCTATGTAAAGAGCTATACAAGTGCCCTGATCTCAGGCGCCGAGGGGGTCAGTCTGTACATGAAGTCTGTGTCTGTTTGGTCTCGTAGGTGCTGCACAGACAGCAGTCCCAGCCTGCGAAGGAGAATTCCCCACCGAGAGAAGAGGCTCCTCCTCCACCCGCTGAGGACAGTTGTGCCAAAAAGCCGAGATCCCGTACCAAGATCTCCTTGGAAGCTCTGGGTATCCTTCAAAGCTTTATCCACGATGTGGGTCTCTATCCTGATCAGGAAGCCATCCATACCCTGTCTGCTCAGCTGGATCTCCCCAAACACACCATCATCAAATTCTTCCAGAACCAACGTTACCATGTAAAGCACCACGGGAAGCTAAAAGAGCATCTGGGGACAGTAGTTGACGTGGCAGAGTACAAGGATGAGGAGCTGCTGACGGAGTCAGAGGAGAACGACAGCGAGGAGGGCTCTGAGGAGATGTACAAAGTGGAGCCCGAGGAGGAAAACCTCGACAAAAGCAAGGCGGCTCCAGCAGACATCGACCAGAGATAATGTGAGATAGGAGTGCAGAAAGCAATACATTGATCCAAGGATTTTCTGGTTTTTATTTCTAGTTTTTTTTCTCCTTTTACTTTTTGTTTGTTTGTTTCCGTTGCACATGATCCATGTGCAAACCGAATGAATTCAGCGTTGCCCGATCAGACATCGCCTTGACACAGAAACTCGAGTGTTACACTTCCCGCATTTGACTGAAGTAATCATTGTAATCACATAGGATTATGCCTTCATTAATCTTGCACTTATGAAAGGGACATCTAGCAAGTAAATGGGAAGAAAAGGTCCTATGAAATCAATGAAGGAAATTTGACAACTTTGTGTATATATATATATATATTTACATAAAATATATATATATTAAAATTGCATGGGACGGAACTTTACAACCTGAAAGTATAGACTGTGAAATGAGTTCTTTAAAGATGAGACTTGTTTATGTATTAAAACCACTTCACAATGAGTTGCTTTGGCTTTTTGATAAACTGCCGCCTGCTCTCAGGGTGTGGTGACTATTTTTGAATTCCTATTTATTTTCTATGTTTATCCCTGATTTTTTTTTTTTATTATTATTATATGGCTTCCTATCTGGCAACTTGATGGGTAATTTTTGAGGTATGTATTTAAAGACGTAAATCAACACTGCCAAAAAAAGAAAAGAGGAAAAAAAGAGAGAAAATGGAAAAACAAATCAGGGCACCTTAAAAAGAAAACTAGTAAGTTAAAGTACTTTAAACACAATGCACACTTAAGCGGATACAGCATGTTCCACTCTCCAGACAGTCCTTTCTGTAGTGAACAGATGAATTTTCATGGGATTCAGAACGACGAAAACTGAAATTCAGAGCAGAGACTTGTCCATTAACGAGGTCTTTATAGAAAGAGAAGAAAGATAACGTGTTGAGATTTGATGTATGGAATTCATACCACGAACCACATTTTACTGTGGATTTTATTTACGTGTTCTCTGTTCCAGATCTTAAAATTTATAAGCTTCCTTCTTCTTGTTGCTTTTTGTTCATACTGAGGTGAAACACACACACACACAAACACACACACAGAGAAGTGTAAAGTTGCATTGGGACACAAAATGTCACAATCCCAGCAATCCTGTCCAGGCAGATCGCTGACAGATCGAGGGTTTGCGTTGCTGACTTCCCGTTCGCCCTGCTCGCTGGCCTCCCCCGTGTTTCTGTTTTAGCTGGGCTTCCTCCGTGTCCTGCGTTTCGTGCCAGTGAAATGAAGTGTTTTCGGCTGCGTGCCCCCCAGGCCATAGCCCACCTCCAGCGCACGGCATCCGAGGCAGGGGCGCTTTCCAGCCGCGGGGGCTGGGGCGCGAGGCCCTCCACACCCATCCACCTCCTGCCGAAGGGTCTCACAGCGACCCAGCTGGCGGCTGCGCCACGTAAAGCAGAGCCGACCCTGACTGACTCTCCAATGGCACGAGCACTAAGGCTGCAATCTGCTATAGCGCCCGCCCGCTCCCCGGCATCGTGTCGAGAGAGACACCAAGTAGCATTTACGTTTCACTTCCTTGCAGGTTTCTGAGACAAGACCTCACCTTTGCTGCTCTTGCAGCCGGATTGATTTCAGCTGCCTGTTCAAACCGCAACCATAACCGTACCAACAAGGCTCCTGGGCTTTTTCTTCCTTTTTTCACATGGGCTTTTCATGTAACCCTGACGAAGACCTCATGCAATATCACTTTGAAAGTTACTTTCTGTTTACTACACCAGGCAATGTAATATAACTGTTAATACTATTTATATATTTGAAAGGTATAAAAGGTAGGAGTTAAAACTGAAAAACAAACCTCTACGTGTAGATATTTACTCAGAACAGACACTATACAGGGAGAAGACGTTGCAATACAAGCTAGTTCTAGCTGCTCAGTAACCTCTGAAGTTTTTAAGGGATTTTTTCAAAACTAATGTTTGAAACATAAGAGTATCTCTGCATAAATTTCATATACCTTTGCAAAATGATGGTGGGTTGCTTACTTTTGCTCTTCATCCTTTATTTCTGTAGTATGCTGCAGCTTTAATCAGAGTTTCGATGGTTGCTGCTTTATGTTTCTCTCGGAGCTACTCTTTCAAAACTGTCTTCTTATCCTGTAGCTGAAATCACTCCATACATTTGAAAGGAAACTGAGTTATGCCAAGCTACGTAAGGTTGTTCATCTGATGATGGCATCGACATTTGGTATCTTTTACACTTCAACCAAAAATTTTATTAGGTATTTTTTCAATGCTGAGTCTTGCCTTTTTATTTTTAATTTCACTGCCAATTTTGCAGTGGTTCTAAGTGAATCTGTGGGCATTTTAGCCTGTGGTCTTGCCAGAACTTCGCGAATTACAATGCATATATGTCTATTTATTCAATATCCATCATATAATATCTATTTGGAGAAAGAAACTTTTCTTGTAGTGCCTCTTAACAAAGCACAATTTTCCGCCTTTTTTTGTGAAATAAAAATAAAAAAAAAAACAAATTGTGTTTTATTGCGATATCAACAATGTGAATAAGGATTAACATATTGTAAATGTTCTTTTTTCCATGTAAATCAACTTTATCTTTGTTATCACTAAGTGATAATTAATTTTTAACTTATGTGCATTGTTAGGCTGTTAGAATTTTTTGGTTGTTGAAATAAAACGCATTCAATAAATATGACTTAATTTGTCAGGTAATTTACTGGGCCTTTTTTCTGTTCCGCTGAGTTCAAGTGGGAGAAGGTCTGCGAAATGGAGGGGGCAACTTGGAATTTGCGAATTGAAAAAGCATCGATGGAGTTATTGTGGTTTGAAAACCTGCGTGAGCCCCCTGAGGTCAGCACGGCTGACAAATCCCCATCACCCGGGGCTGATCGCTCATGTTCCTGGCTTTTTGTGTACACGTGTGAGACACACAGGGAGTCCCCGGCGGGCTCAGGAGGAGGGCGTGGGTGCCATCAGCCCGTCGGAGAACACAAATGCTCAAAACACAGACAAAGATCCACTTCCAGTCTGCTGCCTTCTTTTGGTGGTAGATATTTTCTGCTTATAATTAAAAAGCCACAAATGACTGCGTGTCAGGAAACTTTTGGAGCACACATGTCCATGGTTAATGGACATAATAAGAGGCTTTATTATATTTATAGCAGGGCATCCTACTGAGTGTCTAGAGGAATGCC